CTGTGCTCCCCTGGCCCTCTCCATCCTCCCTGCGCTCTGCCTGGGCTTTCTGAAACCTCTCCCCTTGGCTGGGCAGGAGAGCTGTGTGGAAGGTTCTGCACTTCTGAGGGGAGCAAGGGAAGCCGGCTGCAGAAGGTAGCCTTTGAGCTGGGCCTTAAAGAAAGAACTTAGGAACAGAGCAAGAAGGAGCGTGAACCAGATGAGGGCAGTGAAGGAAAGAAAGGGCAAAGCATGAACAGGGACAGGGAAGGGGCCCATCACAGTGGCTCACTGTACTAGAAAGTGAGGCCAGACACAGGGGTGGGATCACCCGATGGGGCCTGACCACTCAGTTGCAGGCTGGTGGGTCCATCTCAGTGCTGCCCCACTTCCTGCACTGGGGCTTGGAATGCCTTCCCATTTCCTATCCTTCCCAGCCCCACCCAAATTCCTTCTGCCCTGTAAAGCCTGATGGCCACCCTTCCTCTAAATACCTACTGTTTTGACCACAAGTATGTGACCATAAATCATCTTCTATAACTAAATGAACAAAATTCCATTAGGGTCCGGACCATGTTTTCTAAGTGGTGGTACCCCACCTCCTAACATTACTCAGGGCCTGGGCAGGTGCCTGCTTTCCACTGGGTCCTTCTGTCTGCACAGCCCCCACTCCTCCCCTATTCTCTGCCCCCCCTGACAGGGCCCCTGTCCGCAGCCTCGCCCACCCAGCTCACCGAGGGGATGTGCAGGGCCTCCCTGTAAAACACCTGGATGTCCCAGTAGCTGAAGAGGTTGCAGACTGAGCGAAGCAGCTGTAACAGCCAGAAGGCTGCAGCCAGGATCAGCAGGAAGACCAGCAGGGGGCTGGAGCGGATCCTGTGTGGGGCGGGACAGATAGCAGCGAGAAAGTGGGGGCCCAATAGAAAGGGAGACCAGACTTGGGGAGAGAATGGAAAAGTCACAGAGAGGGGGACCCAGCCAAACCAGCGGTTCTCAAAGTATACGCCCGGGGAGTCCCTGAGGCCCTTACAAGTGTCTGCAAGGTCCAGATATTTTTCAGGGAACACTCAGGTTTTCTGCCATTTTCACACTCATTCTCTCATGAGGGTACAATGGACTTTTCCAGAGGCTATGTGTGTGACATCATGTCGGCAGCTGATGGAATGTGTGCTTCTGCATTCTTAGATTTTAAAATTATTCTCAGCTTTAATCTCTAATAAGGTAAATACAGATAGATATGATTCTCGTAAACAAAAGCCCTTGGGTGTTTCTGATCAAGTTTAAGTGTATTAAAGGTGTCTCAAGACCAAAAACCTGGAGAACCGCTGATTCAGACCCAGGGACAAAAGGATGGGTGGTTCTTGCCTGCTCATCTCCCCCAGTCATTCCCCCAACCAGCTGTCACTCACCGCTGGGCACACTGGGAGGAGGATAAGATGGCATCCGCCAAGGTTACTTTGTTGTGGAGCAACCCAGGTCTTGTCCGGTTGTTTGGTTGGTTGGCAAAGAGGATGTTGTAATCCACGCACCGAAGGAGGAAGCTTGTGAAGGTGACAATGAAGACAAATTGTCTGGGAGACAGGGAGTGCAGTGATCAGCCTCCAGGCCCGCCCTGGGGGGTCCTCCCCACCCTGCTGAACCCCTGGGCTGCTGGGGGTGAAGGGGGCCATGGCCATGGACTAGAAGCAGCAGGGACTACTGAGGAAGCAAGATGACAGAGTTTGGGGGTTGGGACAAGCATCTCACCCCAATTGGAAGACATCCTCCAGCAGGATGCAGGCAAAGCCATTCCTCTGGTGGTAGCTATAGATGTGATAGCGTGTCAAGAAATAAGCCTGAGGCAGGATGGGACTTTCTTGAGGACCCTTCTCCCTCACTCCCCCAAACCACTGCACCCTCAGAGCCTCCCTGCCAAGAATGCCACCAGCCCCAACCCCCCCCCCCGCCCTGCCCAATGCCACTGCTGCCAGGCCCAGCACAAAGGATATCTTGGTGAAGAAGCTGTCCAGGTTCTGGATGTGGTGCCAGGAGCCTGGGCACAGAGGAGAGACTGTTGGGACTTGGCTCTCACCTGAGTGACCAGTTCACACCCTCAGGAGCCCCCAGGCCCTCCCCAATGCACTCCCCTCACAGCACCACACCCACACTTACCTTGGAGCCCTTCGGGCACATGGAGCAGGGGCTGCTGATCCTCCCCATGGAGGGGTGAGTCTTGGGACCCCTCAGGGTCACAGTCTTCCAGCCGCTCATAATCCTGCTCAGGGATCAGAGGGCCTATCCGCAGCCCAGGAGGGTCCTGGGGGCATCGGTGCGAGGCAGGGGGAGTCACTGAGGCTGGGGGTGGGGTGGAGTGGGAGCCCCAAGAGGGGGGAGCAGAGGTGGGGGTCATCGCAGGTTGTGCCTGCGTTGTGGGGGTGGGGAGGGCACTGTGGCGAGGCTGAGAGGCCCCTGGGGCCTGCACCGCTGGGCAGGGGGGCCCCAGGGCCAGAGGGGGAGCCGAGGAAGGGGAGCTTCTTGTGTGAGGGGCAGGGGACAGAGAGAAGATAGAAATCCTCCCTCCGCCGGGCCCCCGACATGGAGGAGGAGGAAGAGGAGGCAGGGGCATGGAGAGGAGAGGCACCGATCCAGGCCCCAGGTCTCCCCACGGCCCCAGCCGCCCTCTGCTCCCCGCCCAGCCCACTCGCCTCACCATCAGGCCACTAGCTTCTCTGGAAAGCTTGGAAGAATAGGAGCTGCTGCTGCCTCCACAGAGGTCTGAGGTGCTGAGCAGGGACTTCAACAAGGATGGTGACAACAACGCGGTGACTCAGTCAGGGCAGGCCTCAGGCGTCCCAGCTCTGTCACCTGTCTGACCACTCACGTCCCTTCCAGGGCAATCTGCGGCCAAACCTCTCAGGGCCAAGCCTCTGTGCCTGGGAGGGGCGCAAGCTGGAGAGGCAGGGACTAAAGAGCATGCAGACCAGAGACACCTATAGTCCCCTCCTCAGACCTCGAGTGGGTTTAAAGGGGAGGCCAGAGTAGCAGCCAAAATAACACAGCAAAAAGAAACTCCTATCAAAGGATTATAAGACTATGAAGCCGAGATGTTAAATCTTTGGTTCCTTAAAATCCTGCCTCCCCTCTCCCTATACACACAACACCTCAAAGATCAACAGAGAAATGCTTTAAGACCAAAAGCAAGAAGAGAAAAACAAGAAAGGGCTGGTGTTCGGTTTGCCTGATGGTACTAAGGGAAGAGGGGAGACTGCGCGCTTCCGCGGCCAGGTTGGAGGATCTTGAGGAGGGGAAGGGCAGTGAAGAAAGGAGGAGCAGCTATCCTGGATGTGGGAAGCGGTTTGGGGAACTTACAGTAGAAAAGGGCCCCTTGGAAGTCCTATTATGTTTTTTTTTTCCTTTATCCCCATAGACACAAAAAACCCTCTCCCCCAGTCCTGATCCAGTTTTGGGGGCCCCCTGAGAAGCATCAGAGCTGAGCCAGCAGAAGGCAGCTGGGGGACCAGAATTTGGAAGGGTAATTTGAATACCCAGAGAGGAGCCGGCTGAGTTGAGTTCCTTGCTGCCACTTCAACGAGGAGGAGGAGGAAGAGGAGGAGGCAGCTGTTTGGTGGCATGTCCGACGCCATTCCTGAGGCCCTGAATCACCAGGTTTCCTACTGAACCCCATTCCTGAGGTGCTGACTCAGCCAACCAGGTGTCAGGGCCTCCGGGGCTTAGGCCTGAGGGCTGTTGTAGGGGACAGTATCCATGAAATAGAGAGAGGAACAAAGTGGGTCCAGAGTGTTCATTGGAGGAATGTGGAGGCAATCATAGAATTGCCCACAAAATGGGAGTCCAGATATGCCTGTTTTCCTCCTTCTGTGCTGCCTTCCAGGGACAAGGATTATTACATCATTTTATCCCTGAGCAGCAGGAGGCGGAGCTACGAAACGAGATTCACTACTTCTAGAGGTGACATCCTAGTGCCCAAGATGGAATCCCACATTGCAGAGGGGCTAGGAAGTTCCCATCTTTCTGAGACATCTGCCAAGGTGGGTTATGTAGGGTTTGCCTGATCACTTCTCAACCTCACTCACCCCAATATTCCACCATCCACTCACATTAGGACCCCTCCCGTACTCCCAGCCCAACTTCAAGCTAATCGGGCACATTTTCCTACCCAGTTCCACACCAGGTTCATCAAGACACAGACAGCCTCCCTACCACCACCCCCAATTCAAGCGAATTTATTATAAAAAGGGCACTTTTCTCTGCCAGGCACTTGGAGGGGAAAGCGGTATGGATGAATGAGACGGAGCCACTACCCAGAAAGAAGTCACAGCCCATGGGGGAGGTAGTAGCTATGCAAATAATTACACGGAAGTTATAGAGGTGCAAGAGCTGTGCAGTGGGAGTCTTAGGCAAGTCACCTTGACTGCGGTGAGGAAGGCATCTATGGGGAAGAAGGATCTGGGGTCGTGCCTGGATAAGCTATACAGAACCTCCACCCTAGTGGTTCTCAATCGTTAAGCAGGGGGAGTGTATCAGAATCACCAGGGTAGTAAGTTCCCAAATACACGTGCCTGCCGTCCCTGGAACTCTGACCTCTCTGGGAGAAAGGGGCAGGTGACAAGGAACGTGCAGACGTTTTGAAAAAATTCCCCAGGTCATTTTTGTCCCTTCCTCCCCTAGGACCAGCACTCTACACTCCTTGGAGACGCCGGGACATCTGGAGTCCGCCGGCAGCACCCACTGGAGAACAGCTCCGAGGTCAGCGGCTGGCACGTTACTATGAATACCCCGCGGTGGACCGACGCACTAGGCACACCCTCGTAACGTCACCCCGGAGATGACCCCGGCAGTGGACGGAAAGCAATGCCCCACCTGCTCGGCCCCGCCCAGGCCTGGGGGGCCGGGCGGGCAGGCGGCTGTCTCCAATCACAGTTCCGGAAGGAGGGGGACCGAAAAGCCTTTCTCCAATCACAGCCTTAGACGAGATTGATGCGTCTTTCCGCCAATCGTCGCCGAGGCGCGAGGGGGTTGTCGGGATGGGGGCCGGAGCCAACATGGAGCTCTCAATGGGATGAGGGTGAAGCTGCCGTTGCCGGCTGCTCCTGTAGTCACGTTCCATCATGTTGGTGCACTTATTTCGGGTCGGGATTCGGGGTGGCCCTGTCCCAGGCAGGCTGCTACCACCCCTCTGCTTCCAGACATTCTCGGCCATCAGGTAAAAAGTGACAAACCTACTGGGAGCGCGGGCCGTTGGCCGGCTGGCCGTGCGTGGGGCCCGCCGGGAGATGGAGTCTCGGGCTCGCGCGAGGCCTGCTGGAAGTTGTAGGCCGGCCCGGGGCGGGGGGGGGGGGGGAGGGGTGGAATGTTACTCCTCAGGGCTTGGCCTCAGTTATTTATAGTGAAGATCCAGGTGCCGGCAGGAGACTCGGTCGATCTGTATCTGCATGTGGGCTGGACGGAGGGCACACTCTGGGTCGGTGACCACACTGGGTCCGTACTTCCCACCAGAGGGCGCCATGCCGCACAGGTGTTGAGCCTTGGGGTCGCCGCCGTTCCTGCCCCCCCCTTCCTGTCCTCGTTCTTGGAATTGGTCTGGCAATCTGGACAAAAATTATTAGTGTCTAGAGACATTTAGTATTGGTGTTGCTCCTGAGATTCAGTATGAGGTGAACATAAATGGCTCCTAGATCTGGATACTTTCAGCAGAGATAAAGTCAATCTAGAAACGCGTACATGTGTGTTTTTGTGTGTTCATTCTACACATGGTTCAAAGACAGAGAGACGCAGGTAGGAAACGAACGTGGACCCTGGAACTGCGACTCCAGTGTAAATGCTTTATGAGAAAGGACTGATTCCTTTCTCATCCTGGAGTGAATAACCTGCAGGCCAGCCAGGTAGCGGACTGGCAGTGGTGGGTCGATGTGAACTTGTGTCATTTGGATAGCCCATCTGATTGAAAGAGGGCAAGAGCTGGGCCAAGCTGCAGCTAGAAGTACCGTTGCTGGGAAGTAATCCTCCAGTTCTTGGCAGTGACCAAGCCCTGCTTAGAGTCTCAGTTTGGAGAAGATGAGAGAAGCTGGAAAGCAGCCATGGTGAATTGTTAAAAAGTTTGAAAACAGTCCAAAGAGTAAGGGTGTTAATATCATTTAAACCAGAGAGAAACCCAGGGAAAGACATCAAATAATATCCAAGTATTTGTGTGTTCACAAGTGCAGTGTCTTTCAAACGTGCAAGTCACAACAAGAGATCATAAAATGAATTTGGTGGGTCACGATAATTTAGAAGTGCATATAAGGGGCGCCTGGGTGGCTCAGTCCGTTAAGCGTCTGCCTTCGGCTCAGGTCATGATCCTGGAGTCCCCGGATCAAGTCCCCCATGGGGCTTCCGGCTCAGTGGGGAGTCTGCTTCTCCCTCTGACCCTCCCCCCTCTCGGGCTTTCTCTCACAATTTCTCTCTCAAATAAATTAATAATATCTTTAATAAAAAAAATAGAAGTGAATATAATGGGTGCCTATAGAGCGTGTGACTCTTGATCTCAGGGTTGTGAGTTCAAGTTGCAAAAAAAAGTGAATATAATAGAATACATGTGTAACAAATTAGGGAAAGTATTGTTTTCTGAAACATTCCAATTTTGTATGACATGTTTATGATACTGGGTGGCAATGCACAACATCTCTCTTATTGTTGGCCTCAGTAAGTCTAAAACTGCAAACAGTGCAGTAGCAGGTCAGGTCAAATTTTTCTCTTCTGCATTTCTAATGAGGGCATGCACTCAACAAACATAAGCATTTGCTGAACATCTGTTATGTACAAGAGTTTTGCTAAGTGCTGGGGATGCAATGTGAATAGGATAGAGCTTCCTGCCTCAAGGAATATAAAGTCTAATGGGGAAATTGGAAGCAGGGTGACCTTCTCTGTCTAAAATTTAAGATAGACCTAAAGTACACAGGGGAAAACAAGACATAAAAACCAGGCAGGTGGAATGGGATGGAAGAAAGCATAACATAGAGGTGGTAAGAAGCCACCCAAGCCTCCCTGAAATTAGGGAAGGATTAGGTGGAGATGCAGTTAGGAGCATCTGAAAATACGAAAGACTATCAGAGTAAAGGGAAAACCTCATTCTATTCGTTTTTTAAAAGTCCCTCCCCATGAATAACGTCATTTGAATCTTTTTTTTTCAAAGGGAGTATTTTCTTTTTAAGATTTATTTATTTGAAAGAGTACACCCGCGAGTGGGGAGAGGGGCAGAGGGAGAAGGAGAGAGAATCCTCAAGCAGACTCCCCACCAAGCGTGGAGCCCAACTCGCGGGGCCCAGCGCACAGGGCCCAACGCACGGGGCTTGATCCCAGGACCTTGAGATCATGACCTGAGTCAAAACCAAGAGTCAGCTGCTTAACTGACTGTGCCACCCAGGCGCCCAACCCCATTTGAATCTTTGAGCATCCCACCACATACTCCTGGCCAGGTAACTTCTGCTTCTAACAAGCTCCCTGTAGCCAATCTTGTCCCTCTCCAGCCTTCTTCTCTCTGCTATGATCTTTTTTTTTTTAAGATTTTATTAATTTATTTGACAGAGCAGCAGAGAGAGAGGGAGAAGCAGGCTTTCTGCTGAGCAGGGAGTCCGATGTGGACTTGATCGCAGGACCCTGGGATCATGACCTGAGCCAAAGGCAGATGCTTAACCACTTAACCAACTGAGCCACCCAGGCGTCCCTGCTCTGATCTTTAAGATGTAAATTTGATTATGTCATACCCCAGCCTAAACCACTCCCCACCATGGTCCCCGTTGCCCTCTAAAGTCCAGGTGTTCTGTGAGGATTGTGATGCCTGCCCCACTCACACCACCTCATGCCTCCTTTCCCTTGTATGCCAGGCTTCAGCTCCTCTGCTCCTGACATTTTCCATTCTTTCCTACCTGCAGCTGTTCCAGACACGCTTCCTGCTGCCTAGAGCTTTCCCCTACCCCGTCTACACAAACACACATACAGGCACACACACACCCTTCACTTGGCCAGCTCCTTCCCATTCACCCTCAGTCTCATCAGGAAGGCCCTTCCCGACTCCCTTGGACAGGAGGAGGAGCGCCTGCTCTGTGTTCCCTGGGGGCCCTGCCGTGCCCTTTCCACACTCAGCAAGCTTTGTCATTAGCTGCTTGTCCTCCCCACTAAAACCTAACCTCTGTGAGGGTACTTACTGGGTCTGTCCCGTTTGCCTCAGTTCCCAGTGCCCTGCGGCAGAGCGCTGGCATCCAGTAGGCACTCAACCCGACATTGCCATGGATCCATATGGAAACTGCAGAACACAGGTGATTTTGGCCTATCTGAGGTGACAAGATCTATTATTTGGACTTTTATTTCTTTTTTTCTCCTTCAGCTGATAGGGAGTATGTTGTCACATAAGCCCTCAAGGCCTGGGAGGAGCCAGGGTGAGGGGTGCAAGGAGCACTGACTGGCGGGCAGAAGACTTGGGGCCGGTCCAGGCCCTGCCGCACACAGCCTTGGGCACCGCACACATGGCAGAGTAGAACAAGCCTGGATTCTGGAATCGGGGGTCTCCTCTTGTCCCCGTTCTGCTGGGGGACAAAGTATTCCAGCTCTCTCAGCCCCCATGACATTTTCTTTTATCAAGTGAGAGTAAGGGCATCTCCCTCCCAGGGAATGGAGGATCAAATGCAGCAGGCCATGGATTGGGGAGGTGGGGGCCGCACCTGCCAGGCCAGCCACTGCAAGCAAGCACGGAGCCGGGTTCAGGGGAGGTGCTCGCCCTCTCTTGCCTCTCCGAGCCGGATTCCCTCAGGACTTCTGTGTCCTCATCTGGAAAAGGAGCGCCTATAGACGAGCTGCCATCCAAAGTGATGTCCTGCGATCAGAAGGAGCATGGGTTGGAGACGGTCACTGACCAGAGGGGCCCGTGGAGGCTGAGAAGGCCCCGCTGTGTGACGTCACAGGGAGAACACCTCTCCGGCCTGATTACCGGCTGCTGTCTTATCCTGCCGCTCCTTGGCCTGTTTGTGTTCCTCTCAGAAACTGAGGTTGCCAAAGAACAGCCCTGGGAAAGGCAGCACAGGACCCTAAGGAAGAGGTGCTGTCCGGAGGGCTCAGCCCGGAGCTGGGCTGCTGTATTGTTCCTTTGAGGGACAGTCAGGGCCTTGAGCCACCGATGCTGTTCTCTCCCCACAGGTCCTCTCACGGCCGCCACGGCTCCTCCCTCCTCAGGGCTGTGGCCCAGCTGAGGTCCCAGCTCCGGGCCCACCTCCTTCAAGCGCCTCCAGCCCCCAGCCAAAGACCCTCTGCCTGGCGCTGGGTTGGGGGCATCCTTCTGGGCCCTGTGGTGTGGAGTAAGTGCCCCCGCCTCGGCCTTGTGGCACTGTGTGAGGCGGAAGAGGCCCCTCCTGCCTGCTCCAGACCTCATGTTGGGGAGTCCCGCTTTAACTGGAAGCTCTTCTGGCAGTTTCTGCGCCCGCACCTGCTGGTCCTGGGGGCAGCCATCGTGGTGAGATGCCCCTCTCCTTTCCCCCACCTTAGGGACAGGAGAGGAGCCCGTCAAGGGTTTGCAAGCTGCATGGGGACGACTTATCTGCCTCACCAAGTCTCAAGAATAGGCCTCAGGAAGTGCAAGGGCTGGCTGGCTTCGGGGGACTAGAAGCCAAGGGATACCAGGATATCCTGCACAGAGCAGCTGGGTGTGCAGGGTACAGGGGTCCCCTGGGGCTGGCAGCCTGGGTTTTAACTCAGCTGTCTCAAAGAAACACAGAAGTAGCCAAAGCAGGAACCGCTGCAGGGGAGGGAGGGCCGAGGTCAGGGCCATGGATGGGAAAGAAGATGGCCCCTTCTAAAGGTCTGCCCGCCCCCCCCAAGCTGGCGCTGGGTGCGGCCCTGGTGAATGTGCAGATCCCCCTGCTTCTGGGCCAGCTGGTGGAGATCGTGGCCAAGTACACGAGGGATCACGTGGGGAGCTTCCTGACTGAGTCCCGGCATCTCAGCACCTACCTGCTCATCCTCTATGGCGTTCAGGTACGGCAGGAGGGAGGGCCTGGGGGCACCCAGAGGAGCCGCTCAGGCGCCCCTGAGTGCCCCGGCCTCTCTCCCAGGGGCTGTTGACCTTCGGGTACCTGGTGCTGCTGTCCCGCATTGGCGAGCGCATGGCCGTGGACATGAGGAGGGCTCTCTTCAGCAACCTGCTCCGGTACTGCTGGCTACAGGGTGTGGGTGGGGGTGACTGATGGCCCGGAGGTGGGGCGGCTCATCCTGAATTCATGTCTCCCTCTTTTCCCTGACCTCCTGTGCCCTTGACCTACCATCAGACAAGATATTGCTTTCTTTGATGCTAAAAAGACAGGGCAGCTGGTGAGCCGGTTGACAACTGATGTGCAGGAGTTTAAATCATCTTTCAAACTCGTCATCTCCCAGGTCAGTTCCCCAGGCCCCCCTGTGTGTACGCACACACGCACACCATCTAGTGTAGACACACCAGGCCAGCCCCATCCCACCTTGCTGCTGGGCCCTGAGCCTAGGCTCACACCAAGTGAAAAGCCTGCCATCTGGTGAGGGTGTGGGTGAGGGAATGGGGAAGTTCACGGAAGGGAGGTGCCGTGGCATTGTCCAAGGTCAGGACAGGCTGTTTCTCCTGTTCTGAAATTCTACCTCCCCGGAAAAACCTTCCCAAGGACTCAGACAAGAGCCTTTCCTGGACCAGCTTGCCAAGAGCAAAATCACCCTGGCCTGCCGTACCCCCAGAATGCCTGGCATGCTGACAGGTGTTACAGAGAATGAGTGAAGGCTTTTTACTGTATTACTGATGTCCCACCCTCATCCACCCACACTGTCACCGTGCCTGCTGGGTCATGCCGGGACACTGGCCCATAGCAGTCCCTGGATGACATTCCTACTCAATTCTTTTTGTTCAGTTCCTTGAGCAAAAAAGCCAACTGGGATTTGTCTAGGGGAAGGATGCCGTGGTCCTTAGACATTCTCACCCAACCCTTTCATGCCTGCTAGTAGAGAAAGGGTTCCGTTTTATGACTGGGTGGACTGCCATTTGGCCCCCCAGGGCTCAGACCTTTGGCCTTGGCCTTGTGAGGGTAACGCTGTAGCCGGCAGACCCTTGGTAAAATACCCCCTGTCAGGGTGCTGTTGCCAAACTGCCTTCGTGCCTTCCTCCTCTCCCCAGGGCCTGCGAAGCTGCACCCAGGTGGCTGGCTGCCTGGTGTCCCTGTCCATGCTGTCCCCCCGCCTCACGCTGCTGCTGATGGTGGCCACACCCACCCTCATGGGAGTCGGCACCCTGATGGGCTCAGCTCTCCGAAAATTGTCTCGCCAGTGTCAGGAGCAGGTACTGGCATTCCTGCCCATCCTCCTCACCTGCCCCATTTCTCTCTGCCCTGCCATCCCTCCCCAGCTCCGACCTCACTCTCTACTTCTGGGACTCCTTGTAGGTTGCCAGGGCAACAGGCGTAGCGGATGAGGCCCTGGGCAATGTTCGGACTGTGCGGGCCTTTGCCATGGAGCACCGAGAAGAGGAGTGAGTCCCAGACGGGGAAGGACTTGAAGGAGGGAGGACTCCTCGAACGCACCCCACCAGCCCTGCACCCTACCCTGGCTGCTTCCTGACGGCCGGGCTTGGCCTCTCTCCCCAGACGCTACGGAGCGGAGCTGGAGGAGTCCCGCTGTAAGGCGGAGGAGCTGGGCCGAGGCATTGCCTTGTTCCAAGGGCTCTCCAACATCGCCTTCAACTGTGAGTGAGCAAGTCCCCCCCCGCCCCGGGGCGTGGGAGCACCCAGTAGTGGCTGGGGATGAGCGTGGAGCAGCGAAGGACGGTCCCAGCAAGGCAGGCAAGGAACAGCTCCCCGTGTGCTTGTTGTCCTTCAGATGTCTGCCCGGTGCCGTCTGCCCGAGCGGCCCCCCCCCCCAACGCCTCATTGCTAAATGAAGAAACAAAGGCAGACACCACTGAAGTGACTTGGTGACATTTCAGTCAGTCGGAGGCACAGCAGGGACTGGACTGGGGTCCAACACCTGGGCTGGGCTCTGTCCTCAGCTCCTAGTCACTTCTTGCTAACCACCTGGCCCTTTCCCCTGTGCAGGCATGGTCTTGGGCACCCTGTTTATTGGGGGCTCCCTCGTGGCTGGACAGCAGCTGACAGGGGGAGACCTCATGTCCTTCCTGGTGGCCTCCCAGACGGTGCAGAGGTGAGTGTGAGGCTGTTCCCGTCCTGGAGGAGCCCTGCTGGGTCATGGGACGGGGGGGTGGCAGCCTGCTCTGGGGACTGCTGCCCAGCCCCTGGCCGCCCAGTTTCCTCAGGGAAGCAGGCACCGAGGGGAGGGCTCCCTGCAGCCTCCTGCACTGACCGGAAGCTCAGGAATGCAGCTGTTCTCTTCTGCTGCCTAAACAGCTCAGAAGTGCCCATGACAGCTTTTTTTAAAAAATGGGTAATTGTGGTAAAATACACGTAACGGAAAACGTACAGTCTTGACCAGTTTTCAGCGCAGACGTTAGTCGCATTCTGCGCACGTCACGCCGCTCTCGGTCGCCAGCACTCCTTCATGCTGCAGACCTGAAGCGCCGGGCCCGTTAAAAACCACTAGGGCCCCTGACACCCTCTGGCTCTGTGCTCAGCCGGCTTTGGGTCCCTCCCGTAAGTGCGACCACACAGCGCCTGTCCTGTGACGGGCCTAGTTCACTCAGCGTAGTATCTCCCAGGTGCATCTGTGGCCCAGCGCGCAGCAGGACTGCCCGCCTTGTTAAGGCTGAGTAGGAGTCCGTGTGTGGATAGACCACCTTTGACTCGCTCTTTAAGAGCTCCCCTGCTGTCCTCTGCCTGACCTTCCCAGGGATAAGAAGCTCGCCCCCTCTCCTGCCCTGCCCACCCTGGAGCTCAGTGCGTTCATGGCTCTGAGGTCTGCCTGCTCCGCTGGGCCTGTCCGCCCAGAGCCCTCGGTTCCCTTTGTTCAACACCCCCAAGGCCTCCCCATCCCTTTCTCTTCTGAGCCAACCATGAGCAGTTCCTGCTGCCATTTCTCATCCCTTTGTCTCCCCCACACGCTGTGTATAAAAGTACATAAAGCACAAATAGATGTTAGGATAAGTAATTGAAGAGCGAATGTGCTATAATAAGTCCCTGAAGAAAAAAATAAATAAATAAATAAATAAATAAATCACTGAAGAGTAGAGCCCGGCATTACTGTCAGCCACGTCAAGAAAGTACAGTACCCCCCAGACAGCGCTCCGTGCCCCTTCCCCATGGCGTCTGATTCTCATGGCATGTGTGGCCGGGCTGTGCTCCGTGTCTTGCCACGATGTTTGCTACAGCATCCCTCACCATCAGCCTCATCATTGTCCCAGGTAGAGTGGAGCCCATCCCAAGACTCCCACCCTCGGCCCCATTTTTGTCCAGGGCTTCCTAATATGAGCCCACTCAGACCTTCTCTGAAGTTTAGACCCCGGGCGGCCTCCTCCTTCCGCCAGCCTGGGGACTAGGAAGCTCTTGCCTGTTGTGGAGACGGGCCTTGGCACCGACCCCAGACTGAGCCTGGCCTCTTGCTCTCGTCCCGAAGACCCGGATGACCCCCCGATCCTGTTCGTACGGTCACCACATGGCCTTACACGGTGTGGGCCCTCCACGGGCAGTGGTGGGAAAGCCTCCCTCTCCCTACACCTCCCAAGCCTGGCCCTCCTCCTTCAGGCCTGCCTTCCCCTGGGCCTCACGTGTCCCTGTGGCCTGAGTTCAGACCCTTTCCTTCCCTCCCCACTGCACTGCCTCGCCAGTTAGCAGAGCTTTACTACAAACAAGAAAGCCTGGGGAGTCCGTCTCTACTACCTCTCTCTTGGGCTGCCTAGAGGGAGCTGCTCCCACAGCCACAGGCCTTAGGCCCGTCCTTCAGGAGCCTGTCACCATATGGACATTCTTCACCACCCACTTCAGAGGAATTAGGTCTATTTTATTAAGGAGGCTGGTGTATTTCCTCCTGGGGTCCCGCAGGGGAAGGGAGGGGAGAGAAGGAGCCTCAACCTGTAGAGCCCATTCTAGGTGTTCTTTTTGTGGCACCAGGTCTCTGGAGGAGATGGGGAGGCATCCAGATGGACCCCAGTCAGGGTCAGGCCGCCTGGTCTGCATCCAGGCCTGGGCCCTACTGGGAGTGGGCCGCCCCCCGCCAGGCCTCTTAGGAGAGCCAAGGCCTGCCTTCTGAGCCATCTCTGAGAGTAAGGGCATCTCACACACCACCGAGTCATGGGCATCTGGTTTTTGGTTGCTGCCAGGCACCGCTGCCAGGCCCTAATGGCTTCCAGATCTCTGGTGGAGGATGTTCTCCCTTCTTAGCCACGGGGAGCTCGCTGTCCTGGCTCTTCCTTGCTCGATGCCTCTGCACTCACGTTGGCCAATGCCGCTAGCTCACTGCGCCCGCCAGAACGACTTCCTTGCAGGCTCCTCCCCCTCCTCAGCCCTGGTGCTGGAAGAAGTGACTTTCCTCTTCAAGAGAGTCAGTCTTTCCTGTTCGGGAAGGACCTGCAAGCACACTCACAGATGCACGCCCTGTCGCGGCCTGGCCAGCCCAGTTAGGGGCTGGTGACTGAGAAGCATGACTCACCTTCCAGCAGCCGACAGCCCCGCAGGGCAGAGGAGGCAACCTCTGGGTAGAGCACGCGTGTGCCATGCCTAATTACACGGGGCAGGCCCATACTAAGGTGTCTCTGGAGTTTTGTCTTGGGGTGCCCCCAGAGTTCCCGCTCCCCCACCCCCACCCCACACACGGTCCAGTGGCTTCGGTTTTCTTTCTGTGAAGGGATTCACATCCGTGTTTCCACCTTAATTAGCCCTTGCTCCCCCAGGAGTCCCTCGCGCCAGAGCTGACCTCGGCCTCTGGCGTGGGCACCCTCCCTCCTGTTCCGGGAGCCAGCCTTCATGCTGCGGCAGCACGGAGTCCAGCCCCACAGCCCCGTGCCTGCTTGCTGCAGCTGTCTCCCTGGAGCCCCATCCTGCGGCCCCTGACAGTTGTCAGCCTCATCTGGCTGAGGAGAGAACAAGGAGATGACGTGGCTCCGAGGAGAAGCGACTTGCCAGCGAACTGTCTAGTGTTGCCGGATCCCAGGGCTGCCGCCATCCCAGACGGCACGAGCGTTGTCAGGCTTCACCTTCAGGCTGCTTGTTTCCGAGCCTCAGCCAGCGTGCCTCCCGCCCCCCTCCAGAGTGCAGCTGGGACCCATACCCTCCCCTCTGGCGCCGGTCTTCTCTCGGGCTCTTGTCCCCTTTTTCAACCTTTCTCTCCTCCCCGCAGGTCCATGGCCAACCTCTCTGTCCTGTTTGGCCAGGTGAGTGGCAGTCGGGGGGCGGGCCCCAGGGTGTGGACATGGGATCTGGGCTGGAGTCGTGTCAGGAGCATCACCTGTGTGCTGGGGGAACAGCTGTCGGGTGGAGGGGACAGCCCAAGCCCCTCCCCTGACTGCGTGTGGGAGTCCAGGAGACTTCCTTCCCTCAGACCCCAGCCCTCCCTCACCGCAGACTTCAACCCCCTCCCCAGGTGGTGCGGGGGCTCAGCGCGGGGGCCCGGGTCTTTGAGTACATGACTCTGAGCCCGTGCATCCCACTGTCTGGGGGCTGCTGCGTCCCCCGAGAGCTTCTGCGCGGGGCCATCACATTCCACAATGTCTGCTTCAGGTCAGCATTGGCGAGTGGGGGCAGGGTCGTTCCCTTTGGGCTGAGGACCTGCGGCTCAATGTCTCCCTGTAATCAAGTCCCCCTCAGGGTCCAGTGAGACTTGAGGAGGGGCCGGGAACCTGGTCTGACTGAGGGTCTCTCTTGGCTCCTCCCAGTTACCCCTGCCGCCCCGGCTTCCCGGTGCTGCGGGACTTCACCCTCACCCTGCCCCCTGGCAAGATCGTGGCCCTCGTGGGCCAGTCCGGCGGAGGTGAGAGGAACCCACCACCCTCCCACCCTATGACTTACGGGACCTCACCAGGGGTCCCTCTTTCCTGGCATGATGTCCCTAACCACCCCATCTCCCCGACCCCAATTCCCCAGGAAAGACCACCGTGGCTTCCCTGCTTGAGCGCTTCTACGACCCCACGGCCGGCGTAGTGACACTGGATGGACGGGACCTGCGTACCCTTGATCCCTCCTGGCTCCGGGGCCAGGTCATCGGCTTCATCAGCCAGGTTGGGGAGGGGAGGCTTACCTCTCTGCACAGGCTCACCTAGGACGTGTGTCTTTAACGTCCCAGACTCTGTCCCTTCCTTCCCACCCCCATCACCCCCTGTTCTCTTTGGCAGGGTGGGGGCGGGAGGGCTCTGGCCTTCTTCACTGGTCCCCCAGTGGTCAGGGGACCTGAGGCTTCCCCGTGCCAGCCCACCCGCAGCTCTGTCCTTGTCTCCAGGGTAGGAAATCTGCTCCTCAACTAAAGCCATCCAAGCAGGTGGGGTGGGAGGCTGTTTGAGGATCTCTGGGTTCTCTGACAAACCTGTAGTGTCCAAAAGGTCTAGAGACCCCTGCCCCCCACTAAGCAAGGCCCCACGGCCCCACCCTGAAGCGCTCAGCCCTGCCCCTTTCCTTCTGTTTGAGGTGGTGCTGCCAAGCAGTGTCTGCCTTCCCCCCTCTGAGTGGATAAAGAGGGCACCCTTACCTCCTACCGCTGCAGGAGAAAGCCAGAATACAGACCCCCTCTCTCCCTCTCTCTCCAGAGAGGTGGGGCTTGGCCAGGCCAGCTGGCCTTGCTCTCCCAGCCACCTTCCCATCCCGCTCCTGAGGGACCCTGTGCCTTGCAGGGAGCTCGGCCTCTCCCCACTTTGTTAGATCTCTGTTCTTATTTGACTCGTAACTTTGAACTGCCCCTACTTGCCCTCCAAGAGGGCAGTTCTGGTGTAGCCGAAATCACCCTTCCCAATGTACCCCTCTGGGGTTTGGGTCAAAGTCAGAATGTTCCATGTGGAGCCCCCACCTGCAGGAGCCAGTCCTGTTTGGAACAACAATCATGGAGAACATCCGCTTTGGGAAGCTGGGAGCCACAGATGAAGAAGTTTATGCTGCTGCCCGGGAAGCTAGCGCCCACGAATTCATCACCAGCTTTCCAGAGGGTTACAACACCCTCGTCGGTGAGGCCCGGGGACGGCGTCCTGCTCGGGTCTGCAGGGCCCACGGTGTGAGAATCCAGGGGGCAGGAACAGAGACCTGGCATCAGGGAAGACTAGACCCGTGGCCTAGGTGGGTGGACACGCTTCTGTGGTCCAGCCACACACAGGCTGCAGAGACGGGGACGCCGCAGGGAGTACACGTACCAGACGCGGCCAGGGACACAAGGAATCCGCGGTGTTGGGACCGTTCGGAGCTTGCCAGGGGCCCCCACGTCCTAAGACCCAACCAGAAGCACGGTATTATTGCCTCGAAATTCCTTGTGCTTCTGGCTCCCGTGTCATTCCTGCCTTTTATTCCTTAATTTGAAAATGTTTCTGTCCGGTTACCCATGGGGCTTGATGTGGCTGAATGGGTCTCCCTTCTGACTTACCCAGGAAAGGGCTTAGGTGGTTCTGGAACATTGAAATATCACAGCCTCACACTAGAATATTCACATCACGGCTGACAGCTGTGTGCATTCATCTCAGGGGTCTTTTTTTCAACCTTCGGGGCCAGGTTTTTCATCCAGAGTCTTGGCTCTGTTACAGAATGTTCTAGTACGTGTCAAGGTGTAGGCATAGCTAGGGTTTTCAACTCTTCTTGAAACTTAGGCCTCAGTCTAGCTGAGCTTCAGCCCTGCCAGGCGGCCCCGCCCACCCCGTCTTTAGCCATTGTTCACGTTCTCTTGCGGATCCAGCTAATTCTGCTCACTGCTCAGACTCCACACTACCCTGAGGAGAGGCACTGTCCCCACACCTCTCTAGAGCGGCACCTTCCTTGCACCTCTGACCCCAGCACACGCCCAGGCCGAACTGCGGCCCATCTGCCCCCGCTGGTCTCTGACTGCTGTCATCATGGTGCTCTCTTTAGCTCCCAGGCTGCCACCTCTGCTGTTTTTTGTGGACATGGTAGGCCCCAAGGGTGGTCTTCCCAAAATTGCCGTGGCAGGCCATCACCCCACTCCAAGGCCCACATCCGGGTCCTGGACATCCCCCCAGCAGCGGAGACCCAGCGGGCCAGGGTAGGGCAGGCCCCGGCCCGGCTCGGAGACCCTGCCGTGGTATGGGAGGGGCACACGGTGGCTCTGGGGTGTGCTGAGTCCCACGCGTGCGCAGCTCCTGCTGTCTGGTGTGAGTGCGTTCGTGCATTTGCACAGGGTTATGGGATCAGGATGCTGAGGAATCAGAGGCAGGACAAATGTGCACGGTGCCAGTTGCGGGGGTGGGGAGCGCCTGAGGGTCCAGATGGGAAGTTTCAGACGGCCCTGGCCCCCCTTTGTGAAGATCACTTTAGCCCCTGCCCTGTCCTATTGCCCCCAGGTGAGCGGGGCGCAACCCTGTCTGGCGGCCAGAAGCAGCGCCTCGCCATCGCCCGCGCCCTCATCAAGCAGCCCACGGTGCTGATCCTGGATGAGGCGACCAGCGCACTAGACTCGGAGTCCGAGCGGGTGGTGCAGGAGGCCCTGGACCGCGCCAGCGCCGGCCGCACGGTGCTTGTCATCGCCCACCGGCTCAGTACCGTGCGTGGGGCCCACCACATCGTTGTCATGGCCCATGGTCGAGTCTGTGAGGTCAGCTGGGGGCCGGGCAGCGGCTCGGTGGGTTGGGACAGCTTCAGCCATGGACAGAGTGGAAAGCATGGCTCAGCTGAGCCGTGGGAGGTTCTGGCCTGGCCCTAGGGGCCTGGGGCCATATTCTGGAAGCAGCACTCTGTGTGGATTCAGGAGCTCCTGCCCTGGTCTTTCAGGGCCTGTTTCTTCCTCTGTGCCATGGGGATAGTCGAGCTACGTCATGGCTCCCAGGGCCAAAGGGAAAGGACTCGGGGAAGTGTAAAGTGCTGAACAGAAGGGCCTAGGGGCCAAGGTACAGAGGAGGCAGTACCAGGGACCCTGATCAGGGGCCGGCCAGGAGCAGCTCTCCAGAGGCTGGGTCTGCAACAAGGCCGGGGGGCTGCATGGGGCCTGGCTCCCATTCAAGTAAAAGCTGGAGTCTTTGGACTCTAAGGGAGATAGAAGGATTCAGATGCTCTTCCAAAATCCGGCTAAGCTGACAGGTGGCGCTAACAAATACAGACGTGCCAGTGGCTATCTGTAACAAGCTGTGTTCAGGTTCACAGAGTCCCCAGAAGGGACACTAGCTTAGGAGACAGTGAGCCCAATGGCTGATAAGAAGCCAGCCCACTTAGGGCTCTGAACTGGGTTGGTGTGATCACCTGCACCTCCTTCCTCTGTCCAGGTGGGGACCCATGAAGAGCTTCTGAAGAAGGGCGGCCTGTATGCAGAGCTAATCCGGAGACAGGCCCTGGATGCCCCAGCTCCTGAGGTGCCCAGAGGCCCCAGGAACCGCCACCCCAGGTCCTGAGAGCAGCTGTCTGAGGTCTGGTCACTGCTGAGCTTTGGTGCCCAGGGCCGAGGCTCAGCTCCGGGAGCACCCGGGGACCAAGCACCCAGGATGGCCAGTGTGCCGGGGTGCAGGCTGCTGCTGCCCCCACCTGCTCACAATGAGCCCTGGGCCTAGCGCTGCAGTGGGGGAGGTTGGGACTGCTCCCATCCACGCACCCCTCCTTCCGCCAGGCTGCCTCCCTCCTGCAAGAGCCAGGAATCACTGGACTGTACAGAGGAGGAATTAGAGTCCCCAGGCCCCTGCTCTGTTTCCTCCCTCTGCCCAGACCCTCCCGACCCCTCTCAGGAACCCTGCCAAGTCTCCCCTCTACCTGATAGCCTAAAGCTGTGCGGGCCCAGCTCCAGTCAGGTGCAGGGAGTGGGAATGGGAGTTCACACGAGGGTGGCCCACACCCATGCCAGGACCTCACCCTCCTGGACCCTGACTCCCCACTCCTCTGTCCCCACTGTCTCTCTGAGCCGTGGGAGAAGGAGCCCACCTCTTTGACCAGCCCCTCGAACCTACAGTCCCCATCCTGAGAACAGCTTCCCTTCCTTCTCCCTACTCCATTAAGACGGTCCTTTTTCTAGATTTCATCCCCATCCCCTACGCCCCCATCCAACAGAACAGGTGGCTTGGGACACTTGCCCCTGGCCCTTGGGAAAGGGGTAGGAGGGGCGGGGCATGCCATGGTCTGTTCCACAAGGAGCTTCCAGCTTACCAGGCTGTCGTACCACTGCCCCGGTCCCATGCACCTGGACTCTTGTCACCCATGAGATTGTGGGCAGCCCCCCCCGCTCTGAAGGAGACGAAGGAGAAGCCGACACATACCCCAAACTCCAGCTGCACGGGTCATACGGTGCTAACAGTCACCAAATTGCAAGGGAGAAGCTAAAACTTAGCCCCCAGGCTGACAAAACACAAAATCAGGTGGCTTTATACTGTGGATTTATCCAAGGGCAAGGCCATGTTTCCGGGGCGGCCGCAATGTGTAGGACAAGCAGTCAGCAGTGGCTCAGGTGTGCGGAGCTGGGGCTGAGTCCCTCCAGCCTCTTCCGGGCGTGGTTTAGGACGAGATGCTACTTCGGGGACAAAGCACCTGAAATGTCCCAGGGCGGCAGCCACCCTGGAGTGATATCCTGCTTCCTTACCGAGCAGAGGTCGCATGCCAGGGCAGCCACAGGCCAAGAAGCGGAGCGCGGGCTTTGGGGGGCTTTGCCACCAAACACCTCCCAAGTAATGCAGCCCGGCGCCAGCCTCAGCCCCCTAGCCAAGTCCGCAACGGCCTGCCTCACCCCTCCTTCAAGGGAGAGGCAGCCGAGGCGAGCTCCTGCTCCACCAGCTCCAGCCCCAGCTCTGCTGACCTCTTCAGGGGGCCTCTCCCAATCCTGCCACACACACACACACACACACACACACACACGGGGCCTCTCCCAATCCTGCCACACACACACACACGGGGCCTCTCCCAATCCTGCCACACACATACACACACACCCCTAGGGAAGTAGTGCGACCTGTGGGAGCCCGGGGCTGGAAGGCTGTGCGGTCGGCCTCACGCTCGTCGTGCAGCCCCAGCCTCAACCTTGCCTCGTGCCACTATTCACCACGGGTCACAAGCCTGCAGTACTTCGTCCTGAGAGCTGGGCGCCTGGTGGTGCAGTTGATTGAGTGTCTGACTCTGGGTTTCGGCTCAGGTCCTGATCTTGGGGTCCTGGGATCGAGCCCCACGTCGGGCTCCACACTCAGTGCAGAGTCGGCTTGAGATTCTCTCCTGCTCCTTCTACACCTCCCACTCGTGCGCGTGCGCGTGACCTCTCTTTCCCTAACAAATCTTTTAAAAAATAAGAAATGGAACAATCTGCAGTAAAGCACTTCAAACTCAATGCTACGGCCTCAGAAGCTGGCCACATCTGTACAATAAACGTATGTACTTCCTCCTTCCAAGATAACGTGTTCGTTAAGCACCTATTGTGTGCTACCACGCCTGGCCTGCGACAGGGAGGAGGGTGTCCCTGCCCCCGTGGAGCTGCAGTCTTGGGAGGACAGACAGGTGGACGGGTGATTGCAGCACGGTGTGATCGTGGTCAGGTGGCGAACTGTGTTTCTTCCACGCACGGCCAAGAGCCTGCCAACGTGAACCTGGCAACCTCACAGGCTTTGTGGAAAGAGATGGAGTAGAAATAAGCTTCAATAAATAAACGGAGATAAACCCGCATTCTGTCAGGCCGACAGTGCAGCATCTCCCCACTCCCAGAGACACGGAGGCAGGTGAGCATTCAACCAAATGCAGGGCTGGACAATGACGAGGCCCAGGCCCCAGCCATGCCCCCACGTGGGGTGTCTGGGCTGACCCCCGCAGCCCTCCACCCCCTGGCCCCTCCTGCTGCTGCCCTCCGTCCCCAGGCCTTGGGTCAGCAGGACCCCCTCGGGCCACTGCAGGCCAGTTGGTGCTGACCTTGCAGACTGCCATTCTACTTTCTGGAGGCGTCGGCTCCAGCTGCTGGGAGTCCTCCCCTCGCCCGGCCCATCATCCCCTCTGGATCATCTGCAGTGTCTTCAATCAAATGCCCCCACTCTGCCCTCTCGAGGCCAGCATTGCCACGCTAGGCCCAGGGCACCCCGGCTGGGTCAGGGACACTGTATCTCTTCCTTTAGGAAAGCGCCCCCACCACCGGCAGGGGCACCTGGCTGGCTCAGCAGGTAGAGCGTGTAACTCTTGATCTCAGGGTTGTGAGTTCAAGTCCCACATTGGGCGTGGAGCCTACTTAAAAAAAGGAAAGAAAGAGAGAAAGAAAAGCACCCCCTGCAAGACAGGTACACTGCCTGCCGTGTTACTGACGGGAGTGCAAAACTCCCACGGGAATTTTGTGGTATCTACCAAATTATGCATATAGTTGCCTCTTGACCCAGTGGCTCTATTTCTGGGAATTTACATCTGTGCAATGGTACTGAGAGCACCATTGTTTGCACTGGAAGACTGGAAACCCCCCGTGTTCATCACAGGGATGTGATTGGATGAACGTTGGTACATCCACACAGTGGAATCGAATACAGCCATTTAAAAAATGGGGAAGTTTTCCAGGTCCTAGATATTGCCTGGTATGTGAAGTTATAGGGCACCTGTGTTCCCTGGGAGGGGGGCAGGTGAGCCCACAACCACCTTGGCAGAGGCCAGCCTCTCAGACAGGAGGGCCTCACTCAGCATGGGGAGGTGGGAAGAGGGTCACTGGAGACAGACCCCCCCAGGGCAGGGGACGTGCAGAGCCCCGGCCATCCAGCGTGTCCTGCTGGATGGCCAGGAGTCTGCCAATGCCAAACTTCCCACAGCTTTCCAGCTTGGTCAACAGCCAACTCCTCTCTTTGTGAAGGAACAGATTATCCTGAGTGAGGTTAGTGGGAAGGGAGGAGAGACAAAAGGAGGGAGGGACTGGGCCGAGGGTCAGCAACCGACCCTCAACCCAACCGCAAGGGCTGCAGCTGGGAGCCCAAAGGGCCATTAAGGCGCCCCAGCCCCAACTTCTCTTCAGGCTCCCTTCAAGCCTTACCCAGGATTGCGGTGGTTTCCCGCTGGCGCCTCTGGGCTCCCCAGCCGCGGCCCCCCCCAACACACCACACTAATGGCTCAGCCTGAGGCCCCAGGGACCTTCCCTGCCCCCCCCCAGACTGCTCTGCGGGCCCCCGGCCCCCTCACTGCTGTAACCCAATCCTCTGCGGCAGCTCCGGCTCAGCAGAGCAGCCTCCAGCACAGCGAGCCCTGCTTCCCACCTCGGCAGCGCCCTACCTGGTCTCTCCGGCCGCGCCCCCAGTCCGGCGCTGAGCCTAGCGGAGCCCCAGCTTTTGTTCCTGGAGACCGTCGAGCCAAACCTGCTGCGCCAGTGCCTCCGCACCCCTCGGGCTGGGCTCCTCTCCCCCACCCTCTCCTCCCCTCGTCTCACCCGCAGTGACCCCCACCTGGCCACCCGAATCCTCTCAGCCCCTCCCGGTCCTCAGACTGACCCTCTTTCCTCCTTCCAAGCCCCTGCAGCCTGGTCACCGGTCCCCGGCCCTCTCGGTGTCCCCCACCCTGGGCTTCAGCCATGAAGCCCCATCCCGGGCCGCAGGAGGCCCGGCGGCCAGCTTCGGACATCCGCGTGTTCGCCAGCAGCTGCACCCTGCACGGGCTGGGCCACGTCTTTGGCCCCGGGGGCCTGACGCCTCGCCGAGGGCTGTGGGCCACCGCCGTGCTCCTGTCGCTGGCCGCCTTCCTCTACCAAGTGGCTGAGAGGGTGCGCTACTATGGGGAGTTCCACCACGAGACGGCCCTGGACGAGCGTGAAAGCCACCGGCTCACCTTTCCCGCCGTCACGCTGTGCAACATGAACCCGCTGCGCCGCTCGCGCCTCACGCCCAACGACCTGCACTGGGCCGGGCCCGCGCTGCTGGGTGTGGAGCCCGCCGAGCATGCCGCCTTCCTGCGCGCCCTGGGCCAGCCCCCCGCGCCGCCCGGCTTCATGCCCAGTCCCACCTTCGACATGGCTCGACTGTACGCCAGGGCCGGGCACAGCCTGGAGGACATGCTGCTGGACTGCCGCTACCGAGGCTGGCCGTGCGGGCCTGAGAACTTCACCGCGGTGAGCTGGTCACCGGCCCGGGGCCGCCGGGTGCCCGGCTCGTCCCTGTCCGGGACCCACCATCCCCCAGTCATGCCAGCCCGGGCTCCTCCAAAGCCGGGGGACCTTAACAGCCGTGCCAGGGACCCTTCCCTTCCCACCCAGGCCACAGGTTCCCCACCCTACCAGGGCCTTTCTATTCAGCGCAGGAGACTGCTCCTTGGGGTCCCCTCCCGGTCACTCAGCTGGACCGCAGTGTGCAAGGTCGGGCCTCCCAGCACAGGGCACTCACCCAGGCTGGCTCTGGGCCCCAGTTCTGGTCCGTGGAGACCCCGCTTCTGGGGGTTGGGGGGAATCTAGTGGGACTGCTCTAGGGCGGAAGAGCCCTCTC